TTAATTTGAACAAATTATGCAGACTAAAAGTTTGACAAAAGATGCCGCCTGGGATTTAAAGCATATGTGGGTTGTTTTTAATTCTACCATTAAAACTCATGTCGTCTGTTTTTAATATTTGGTGGTAATTTTAGGTGTTTAATTCTTCATGTAATCCCTATGATCCCTAAAAGATGAATACGAACATAGAAGCTTGAATAACGCATCAAAAGCAAGATTAAATAATTATTGATGTTGTCAAAATCACTAAAACAATAATTAATATGAAGTCTACCGCATGTGAAGCTTCCGAAACATTGATTTTGTGTTTCATTCGTCAAAAATAATTTTTCTCAATCAACATGTTTGTAGTTTTATTGGTTAGGGTTTTGTTCAACAATGGAGGGTTGGATGGGTTTTGATAGTTGAAGAAGATAAATAATACGTTAAGAGTGATTTGGGGTGTATATAGAATTTTTAATTTTTTTAACCTAACAAGGTCAAAACTGTCATTGCATAGTAGGATATATAAGTTATTTAATATTAAATTTTAATGTGAGGTGCATTCAACATTTTGTGGGGTGCTAATATAAAAAGCCTTTTATAAAAGAAATTGTTATTAGCACTCTAAAAATCTTATTTGGCATTTCAAACTTTCTATAATTAGAAAGAAAAATACACTTGTGAGGAGTATAAAATGAGATTTTTAGAGTGCTAATAACAGTTCCCTTTTATAAAATGCACAACATTTGCATGAGAACTTCCGACAAATTAAGCAAGTGAAACACATGTTACATGCTTCTTTTATTATGTACATGTAAAAGGACAAATGTTCCACATTTTATGAATTAAGAGTCTATCTTTGTTCTGTTTTGTTTGAGGAGATGAAAAGAGTGCGATGAATTTGAACTATTCAGCAAATACATGAATCACTTAAATGTTTGTACAAGGTCAAATTGTAAAATGTATAATTCACAGCTATGTGAACATACAGACCGTAGAATCCTTCTCCCAAAATACCACTCTCTTCTTTTTCACTAAGTCTCTCACTTTCTACCAATTTTTGTTTTCCTATAGTTTTTTTCGTTCAGTAGTGAATATGGTGCATTATGAACATGTACTATATAGAGCCTAATGATACTGGTGAGAAAGATTATCATACTATACCATATGAGTTTGACGATGACATTGACAATGATGATGACTAATCCATCAATGACAAATACAAGGCAACGTACAACTGATGACTGATACGTTATTTCTTTGGTATATTAAGAATCTTTTGTATTTTCCACTACAAATTCTTAGGTTCATACTTTCTTGTATTAACTTATATCAAACCTAATTATGCTTCAAGCCACAAAAAAAGAGATGTTAATTCTTAGTCATCAATCAAACCAGTGGTCAAGCTCATTAGGGTCCGTAGGCTCTCATCCTCTTTCCACCGCTCATTTTTCCTATTACGAAAAAAATATAGTAAAAAGCAGTAGCACGCACTTCACTAGGCTACTGCCTTTTACCTGTTTTATAGTTATAGTTAGGGGAACTTTAACAAAAAACTCCTGATACTGTTCACTTTAACGAAAAACCACATTTTTACACTAAAAAGTCAATCCTGGTACTATTCACTTTACCTTTTTTATTGTCCTTATCGTTAAAACTTAAAGTTTTTAAACCCTTTTCATTAGTTTTCCTGTTCCTCCCAACAAATCATCTCCAACATTGGTTGGTCATTTTTCCATTCTATGCTAAAGGTTTTGCAAAGCTATTAAACTGAAACGGCCTTCGTGGCGTGATGTCTCTCAAAAAATTATACATACAATATTAAAACATTACGTGACTATGAACTCGTCACATGTGAATCATTATGATTATATTTTAATGTTAGCATATTGAATAAGTGGCATATTACTATTATTATGTTTTGTTAATGTTAGAATTGGTCTTCAGACTTTGTCCTAATTGGAGCATTGATTGCCAAACTCTGGCTCATCTGTCTGCATTTAAAATACAATTCAATCAATGCAAAACCCACAAACATGTGCCATGTCCAATGCAATCTTGTCTATGTCCAGTGCAACCTTGTCATGTTTGTTCATAAACCCATGACGTCCATCAACATCAGTTGAACCAACCTGTACACCACCTTTAAAATAGAATAAGGTTGTGAACTAAGGGTGGATTAAAAATAGGGAAAAAAAATGAACGGAACATTGAACCGAAACCTAAAAAACGAACTGAACAAAAAATCAAATCAAACCGAAATCATTTGGTTTGGTTTCGGTTTCAATGATTCTAAAACCGAACCGAATATATATTAATTTTATTTATTTATTTAGAGAACTGTTATTAGCAGTTCAACAATCTCATTCTACACTCCTCACAAGTATATTTTTCTTTCTAATTATAGAAAATTTGAAGTGCAAAATGAGAATTTTGAAGTGCCAATAATAATTTGCTAAGAGCACATCTAGCCTTCTTTCAATTTTAATGGGGACACTAGGTAGCCGTGGAGCAAGAGTTGTTTAATACTCTGACTTTGGATGTAAACGTTGTGATTCGAGTTTAATAATATTAGCTAGGGATTGAAGTACTTATTGCAATCATTTATTGATGGTCAAATATGATCGTTAAAAAAAAAATGACATTACATTATATATGACCATTAATGGATAATTGTACTAAGGACATGGACAAGACCTAGCCAAGTTCTCATATTCGATGTGAATGCAGGTTCTCAAGTAGGGTGGGCATTTTAATCGGGTCAACTGATCAATCCAAACAAAATAATGAGGTACTTAGAAATTTTTAATAAATTTGATGATTGAGCACGTCTTGATTTATAAATTTCATGGCCTATATGAATATGTATTTATTTAATTTGCATCATGTGTTATGGATTAAATTTTACAATAAGAATCGTTATCGTGCCTCTCGCACTCTCGTTTAATACGTCCACTAGCAATTATTCAAAACTATATTATATTTTAATAGTTTGAATGTTTCAAACCAATAAGAACAGCTAATCCACCTTAATTAAAAACTGATTATATGCTTTGATTGAATAATGCTCGCGTTGCCGTCGACAATGACTACCTATAAGAACAATAAGGCCTATTAAATATAATAGGGTAAATTACATAGTAGTCTTTCAGGTTTGAGGTCTATTGCAATCTTATACAACATCTTTAAAATATTTCACTTTGATACCTCAAGTACTATTTTATTTCAATTTCATACAACCGTTACATTTTCTATCCATGAATCTGTTAAATGCGTGGCTGCCACATATATGCCACGTGGCTGCCAAATGTCTGCCACGTGGCAAATAAAATAATTTTTTATTTTTTTTTTGAAAAAACCTGTCTGGCACATATCTTTTTTTTTTTTCCTTCTTCTTCTTCTCTTTCTTCTTCTTCTTCTGGGTTCGATCCTTTTTTTTTTTTTCTTCTTCTTCTTCCTCCTCCTCCTCCTCCTTCTTCTCTTCTTCTTCTTCTTCCTCCTTCTTCTTCTGGGTTGCAATGGGTTCGATCATCCTTTTTTTTTTTTTTTGCTTCTTCTTCTTCTTCCTCCTCCTCCTCTTTCTTCTTCTCTTCTTTTTCTTCCTCCTTCTAGGTTGCAAGGGGTTTGATCATCCTTTTTTTTTTTTTTTCTTCTTCTTCTTCTTCCTCCTCCTCCTCTTTCTTCTTCTCTTCTTCTTCTTCCTCCTTCTTCTTCTGGGTTCGGTCCCTTTCTTTTTTTTTTTTCTTCTTCTTCTTCTTCCTCCTCCTCCTCTTTCTTCTTCTCTTCTTCTTCTTCCTCCTTCTTCTTCTGGGTTCGGTCCATTTCTTTTTTTTTTCTTTTTTTTTCTTCTTCTTCCTCCTCCCCCTCCTTCTTCTTCTCTTCTTCTTCTTCCCTTCTTCTTCTTCCTCCTTCTTCTTCTGGGTTGCATGGGGTTCGGTCCTTTCTTTTTTTATTCTTTTTTTTTTCTTCTTCTTCCTCCTCCTCCTCTTTCTTCTTCTCTTCTTCTTCTTCCTCCTTCTTCTGGGTTGCAGGGGTTCGGTCCTTTTTTTTTTCTTCTTCTTCCAATTTCAGGTTTTTTTAAAAAATATAAAAAATTATTTTATTTGCCACGTGGTAGACATTTGGCAGCCACATGGCATATATGTGGCAGCTACGTCAGTCTAGGTTGCATGGGGTTCAGTCCTTTCTTTTTTTATTCTTTTTTTTTTCTTCTTCTTCCTCCTCCTCCTCTTTCTTCTTCTCTTCTTCTTCTTCCTCCTTCTTCTGGGTTGCAGGGGTTCAATCCTTTTTTTTTTCTTCTTCTTCCAATTTCAGGTTTTTTTAAAAAATATAAAAAATTATTTTATTTGCCACATGGTAGACATTTGGCAGCCACATGGCATATATGTGGCAGCTACGTCAGCATTTAACAGATTCATGGATGGAAAATGTAATGGTTGTATAAAATTGAAATAAAATAGTACTTGAGTTATGAAAGTGAAATGTTTTAAAGATGTTTTATAAGATTGCAATAGACCTCAAACCTGATGGGCTGCTATGTAATTTACCCAATATAATATATTGGTAGATTAGACTTAATCAATCAAACCCATAAAGAAAGGACCCGGCTTCTTTGCTCTTCCACTTCTCATACACTTTCATTTTCTCTTTTTTGTGCGATCACGATTAAGTCATGTCAACATTTTATATTGATTTTTTTATAGAGAAGATAAAAAACAATAGTAATACAAAATGTTGACGTGGCTTAACCGTAACTGTACAAATAGGATGAGAGTATATGGAAAGTGGGAGGACAGAGAAGCTAGGTCTTTTAAGAAAAGCCTTCTTACTACAAATGTGGGCATATTATTATGGGAGTTTTAACGAAAAGCCCACGGTACTGTTTACATTAAGAAAAAACCATATTTTTACACTAAAAAATCAAACCTGATATTATTCATTTACCAATTTTGTCCTTATCTTTTCAATCCCAGTTTTTCTTATTATTTTCTCCCTCCCATCTTTTCTTACTAAGCCGCATCTTGCATCTTCTCTCCCTCTTCTTTCTTCATTATTTTTTGCTCTCACATCTTCCAGCGATCCAAAACAATAATCAGGAGTTTCGCTGGGAATCTTGGGAGAGAATTGTTTTCTTTAGACTGAAACGATCAGGAGTTTCACTTCTTTGCTTGAAATCAATGAATACCGGCAGCCTCGCCCTTGCAACCGCCGCCGCCGGCGGTTCGTCTTCCTCTCGGCGTTCAAACCGCTGGAAGTACGAGGTGTTCCTGAGCTTTAGAGGCGAGGACACACGCACTGGGTTCACAGACCACCTCTTCAAAGCGTTACGCGATGCCGGAATCAACGCGTTTATAGACTACGAGCTCAGAAAGGGGAAGAATATACAGAGAGAACTTGACCAAGAAATCGAAGGGTCGAGGATCGCGGTCGTCGTCTTCTCAAAGAGTTACGCGGAGTCCCGATGGTGCCTGAGGGAGCTGTCGAAGATCATGAGGTGCGGAGAAGATCAAGAGGAGAAAGTAGTCTATCCAATATTCTACGACGTTGACCCTTCTGAAGTGAGGAAACAGAGTGGTAGTTTTGGAAGCATTTCAGAAGCATGAAAGGGATGAAGACCCAAATGAGGTGGAGCAGTGGAGAAAAGATCTTAAGGCTTCTGCAGATTTGGTTGGCCAGGATCTTAAAACCACTGCAGACAGGTATCATTTACAAAATTTAATCGCTTGCAACATCTTGTACAATTAGCTTTAGTTCATATGAATCATGATGTTGCATGATTAATCATCTGTTTGCATAATTTGGATTTCCAATTGGCAGCCGTGAAGGAGTATTTATCCAGAAAGTTGTTGGGGACATCATTGGACTAATAAAAACCAGCGACTTAAAAGAAGCCAAGCACTCAGTTGGAATAGCTTTTCGCGTGGAAGAATTCAGTACTAAATACTTAGATGTTGGAGGTTCACATGATGTTCAAATAATTGGAATTTGGGGTATGGGCGGCATAGGTAAAACAACACTTGCAAGAGCCATTTATAGCACATACCATCATAGTTTCCGTGGTCAATGTTACCTTGAAGAGGTGATGAGTAAAAAGAAAAATATGGTTAGTCTGCAAGAACAACTTCTTCGAGATATTTTGAAACGGCCTGACATTAAAATAAGTAGTGTTGCCGAAGGGACCAGGGAGATAGAGAAAAGACTTGGAAGCATGAAGGTACTCATCGTAGTTGATGACATAGATGATGCGGACCAATTAGATGAATTGGCAATAGAACATGACTCGTTTGGTTCAGGAAGTAGGATTATTATAATAGCAAGAGATGAACAAGTATTGAATATACAGAAGGTGGATAAAAAATATAAGGCACAAGCGATGACGGATGAAGAAGCTCTTGAGCTCCTTAGTTGGCATGCGTTTGGAAATCATTGTCCTGATGAAGAATATATTGAACTATCTCTCTCTCTCTCTCTCTCTAATATGGATTATGATTTTGATTTTGTTCTATCAAATTATTGAACTATCTCTCTCTCTCTCTCTCTCTCTAATATGCGTTTGGTAACCTCAACCAAATTATTAATCCTTTCCTCTCTCTCTCTCTCTCTCTCTAATATGGATTATGATTTTGTTCTATCTTTTTGCCAAACAGTTGCCGAAGAAGTTGAAGTTTCTTCTGCTCCATCATTCCCGTAGCCTGACTCAATTACCAGACTTTTCAAAACTCCCACATCTCGAGGATTTGAGCCTCAACGGCTGTAAGGGTGTGTCTGGGGGTTACCATTTATTTGCACAACTGAAGATGCTTCAGTATTTAGATCTTAAAGACTGCAATATAACGGATGATGCCATTCTTGAAAGCCTTCGGAGTCTACCTTCTTTAGGGACTTTAAGACTAGATGGAAATGGTTTTAATAGGCTACCCATCCTCAGTGGCCTTTCCCAGCTTATATGTTTGTATCTAAATCATTGCACAAACCTTCAGGCAATCCTAGATTTGCCGACAAGTTTGCGTAGACTGGAAGCGAATTACTGCACTGAACTGGAAATTATGCCCAACCTTCCAGAGATGTCGGAAATGATTGCCTTGCAACTGAAAGACTGCCGCAAACTCAAAGATATTCCAAACCTGGATAACTTCTTGTGCCAGATGCATACCCTTCATATGGAAGGGTGCACCAGTCTCACTGCTACTTTTAAGGAGAACATCCTATTGGTATGCAACTTTCACTCTCCCTCTCTGATTTTCGTATTGTTGCTTATACTAACATTGCACCTCGTGTTGTAGAAATGGGAGGGGGATGTAATTGGTGGACTTTCTCTCTCTGTAAATGATATTCCTCGCCGGTTACCCTATGTCGCGCGAGAGGATGAAACTGTCGAAATTGAAGTGCCGCCTACTTTTGATTATATAGGAGGGTTGGTTGTGTGCATCATTTATTCTTCGGACAACTCAGACTGTACTGGGTCCCTATGCATTCATGTTGTTAATCGTACCCAGCGAACTCGTTTTCACATTTGGCCAATGGAGACCCCCGTAACTGCTTCCCATGAATGTTACCTTTGGCTGGGAAATCTAACAAACATGAAGCTCAATCTGAAAGGTGGCGACAGGGTTCGTGTGCGTGCATACTTTGATGATCATCAGATTAATGTGAAGAAAACAGGAGTGGATATCGTAGAAAGGAAATTTGTAGCTTCAGATCTGATAGATGTGGACTATAAGCGTGTGCCATATGAGTCTGATGAAGATACCGATGAGGGGGAGGACTAGCAGACTACACCCTATGAGTCTGATGAGGAGGACTCTGACTACGATACAGAGTTAGGCGATTACTCATCCAATGAGGAAGAAACAATTGGGAAATGAAGTAAAGCATTCCAAAGTGTCTTTTTATAAAGTACTTGAATTTTTAATGAGAGTTTCGATGTGGGTATAATAAAGGGAGTTTTAACCAAACACTCATGGTATTGTTCACTTTAACGAAAAATCATATTTTTACTCTAAAAAAGTCAATCATGGTACTATTCACTTACAACGCATTTTTGTCATTTTCGTTAAAACTCAAAGTTTTTAAGCTCTTTTCATTAGTTTTCCTTATAAAAAAAACACTTTTAACTGAAGCGTTTTTAGCGAAGCAATGCCAAACGAGTTCGTAATTAAACATATAAGTAGCTTATTTTCTTGTCAAATAAATTAATGATTTTTTATTTGATTCATTAGTGACATTAGAGAAATTTACATGCTAGTGTGTGTCGTGTTTATCCCTCTCTCTGTCTCCCCCCCCCCCACCCCATTTCAAAGAAACTAATTTCCCCTTTCACCTTTCGTCCACTTGTTGCCATCATTCTCTCCTATAATTAACCCTAGTTGTTTGATATGTTTGTGATTAACTCTAATTGTTACTAATCATACCCTGCGAATTCAATATGGAAAATTTTTGAAATGTTATATGAATTTATACACTTTTTTTAATTTGTCATATAAATTAAAATTTTAAGCGTTTTGTCATGTCAATATTTCGAAATTATTAATTTGTCATATTACTCTAACTCCGTTAAGCTTTCCATTTAAAATAAGTCATGCGGTTTGCACATGACTTGTTTTCAAGATTATTTCGGACATTTCAACTCCTCACTTCAAGATTATTTCGAACATTTCAAGGTTTCAGGCATTTCTAATATATATTTTTTTTAGTGACATGATTGACCATGTTGAATTCTTGAAGATTGCAACTTATTTGCATGAAAAAATTAACGAAGTTATGCTGAGATGACAAATTAGTGAATTTGGAAAATTGATATGACAATTCACTTAAATTTTTAGTTGTATGACAAACTTAAAATGGCGTATAAGTGTGTGTAACATTTCAAATTTTCTCAACTCAATCTTCCTTCTGGTTGATGAATGTTGGGTTCGGTGGCTTAGATTTGAGCCAAGTTGAGTCCCACATCGGCCACTGAGGATGACCATGTGGTGCTTTATAAACAATGATCACACAAACATGTTGCCGAGGCTTTTTGATAAAATCCATATCCGTTTTTTTTTGTGTGGATAAAGTAGGTGGAATGTTGGCAATACCAACTCATGTGTGTGGGACCCGTTGGTGTGCTTCCGCACAACAATTGGTATTTAGACCTTAGGCAACGCTTGTTGAAGTTGAAGAGCGAGCTCATTTGGAATTTGGTGCCTGTGGTCAAGGTGGAGCTCTATTTGCATTTGGATCGTGAGACATCATGGCTTGAATCACACCAAGATGGAGATTGTGTTGGAAAATATTAGTATATTTAGGTTTATTTGAATGCTTAGTTTTCTGGGCTTATTAGCCCATTAGTATTAGGGTTTCAGTTTCTTACGTTTTAGGGGTAGGGTTAGTTTATTATAAATAGTATGCTTATTATTCATTTTAGAATAAGCTAGTCACAATGTAGCCTCTTAGGGTTTTGTAACCGCTCTGACATTCTCGTTTGTTTAATAATATTCTTATTATTTTGTAATCTTGTTCGTTGCGCACTCTGATATTCAACATTCAACTTGGTATCAGAGCAGGTTCAATCTTTCAGGATTTAATCTGCTTGGTCGGGTTGGTATTCTGTTTGTCAGTATGTATGTATTCTTGTTTTTTGTCGTTGGTTTAGTTTGCAGAAGAAAACAAAAACATGAACCTTCCCCTCCTCCAGATCCTACCTCGCCATCTGCTTGTCTTGTGCCGTCCCACCGCCTGTAGTCCAACCCAGAATTTGATCTCTTGCTGCAAGCCTGCACAGACCCCATTCTTGCTCGTCGTTTTTGCACCACTCTGCAAGCCTGGAAATCAAAACCTCCTCCGCACCCCTGTACCCACGATCTCAACCCGCACCAGACTGTTGCCTGCAATCCACCACACCACTGCCGTACCCGCTGCTTTAGAACCACCCGCTTGTCGCTGTTTGTTCGCATCGCCGCTGCACCAATGCTGGAGGTGTACGGCGTCAGTCCAGAATGAAGAAAAAATGAAAAAAAAAGAAAAGTGAAGAAAGAAAAAAGTGGAAAAGAAAATAAGAAGGAAAAAAAGGAAAAGAAATTAGTTTTGGTTGTTTGTTTTAGGCCCACACGGGCAAGAAGAAAAAAAAACATAGTTAAGTTTGTTTTTGAGCCACACGAGTTATTGGCTTGTTTGAGATTGTTTTGTGACTGTCATTCGAGTACTTGGAATTGTGACCACTCGAGTGATAGTATTTGTGTTTGTTTGTTCGTAGCTACAATTGAGATATGAAAATCTCGTCCATTTAGTGATGGGTTCTTTCCATACTCTCAACACTAGCCAGTTTGAACCAGAATTAGTTTGCCAACAAGAATCAAGAATCAAGAATCAAATCAAGTCAAGTCAAGTTTGCATGTCTGCCAGTCCGCATCTGCTTGTTTGCAAACTCATGTCGTATACCGCCATGAGTTTGACGCGGGGTTGTTGGAAAATATTAGTATATTTAGGTTTATTTGAATGCTTAGTTTTTTGGGCTTAGCCCATTAGTATTAGGGTTAGTTTATTATAAATAGTATGCTTGTTATTCAGTTTAGAATAAGCTAGTCACAATGTAGCCTCTTAGGATTTTTTAGCCGCTTCGGCATTCTCGTTTATTTAATAATATTCTTATTCCTTACGCATTCTGAAATTCAATTGATTGGTGGTTTTAGCCCCAGTTTGGGGTTGAGGTGATTTTAAAAAAAACTCCTATGAAAAAAAGCTTGGAGTGTTTTTGGTGTTTGGTAAACTTAAAAAAAATGGCTTATTTTGGAAGCTGCTGTGAGAATAAGCTGAAATCAAAGGAAAAAGCTGAAGCTGCAATTTGTAGCTTTGGAAAACTGGTTTTTTTTCAAAGCACACAGAACTACAGTGCTCCTTTAATGAAAAGACCCACTATCAGACTGTTTTTTTTTCAAAAGCACTTTTACAAAAAAGTTTACCAAACACTCTGCTGATTTATTTCACAGCCGCTTATTCTCACAGCACAACCGCTTATTCTCACAGCAGCTTTTTTTCAAAGCACAACAATACCAAACCAGCCCTTAGTGGTTTAGATTTGAGCCAAGTTGCTGACTCCCACGTCGGCTAGTGAGGATGAGCGAATAGTGCATTATAAGCAATTGTACCACACGCACATATTGTCGCTGCAAAGGTCACATTCTTTCAAGGGAGCCTTACGTATCTCTTGTTTCGATTCTACCAGATTCATTTCCTCTACATGTCCACATCCCTCGCTCTTATGAGCGCTGCTTTGCAAATTACACTGGCTTGGTTCTTGTCCATTCCGCCATGTCGTGTAGCCGGAGATCGACATTGGGAACATAACCTTCCTCTCTCATTTTCACCTCTAATTTTCCTAGCACTCCATAAATCTGATCAGAATCAAGGTGCAATCTATCTCCGGCAACAAAACTACAGACTTCACTCCCCACCTCGAAAACGCTCTGCCCGGACATCTTCTTTAACCCTTTCTCCTTTATCAAAGTTCTGAGATTTGTCACATTTTCCCATTTGTTATCAATGGCATATATATTCGAGAACAGGATGTAATACCTTGCGTGATTAGGATCCAACCGAAAAAGACTCTTTGCTCCAACCTCTCCAAGCTTTGTGTTGTTATGAATCCGGCATGCACCAAGCAAGGCTCCCCAAACATGCGGTGCAGCTGGATTGGGCATTCTCTCAACGATTTCCATTGCTTTATCCAGCTCTCCTGTCCGGCCAAGAAGATCAACAATTATCTCGTAGAGCTCAAGTCCTGGCTTAAGTTGGTATTCATGCAACATCGTGTTGAATATCTCGATGCCTTCTTCAACCAAACCCGAATGGCTACACGCAGATAAAATCGAGAGAAATGTTACATCATTAGGTTTTACAGCTGAGGGCTTAACCATCTGTCAAATACTTTCAAAGCTTATTCTCATTGTCCATGAACTCCATAAACTGCAATCATTGCGATCCAGATAACAACATCTTTGTCTGTTATCCCTTCAAATAATAGGACAGCATTGTCTATGCTGCCGCACTTCGAGTATAACTCTATGAGTGAAGCTCCAACAAAGATGTTATTCTTGAAGGCGCGTTTAATCACATACGCATGGAGACAGAGAGCTTGTTGACGAATCCCTAGTTCCGAACAAGCTGCAAGAAGCTTGACCATAACAACGGCATCAGGCTGAGTTTCGTCTGATAACATGCTACGAAAGACCCCGATTGACTTGTATGCCATTCCGTTATGAGCATACCCGGTTAACTAGGCAGCCCACGAAACCACATCTTTCTTTGGCATTCTACTAAAGAGATCACCTGCTTTTTCGGGTGCAGAGCACTTCATGTACATATCAATCAGGCCCGTAGCTACCTTGATATCTAACTCGAAACACTTCCTAGTAGCGATTTCGTGGATCTTCTTGCCTTCTTCTAAATTACCTGCCAGTGCACATGCTTGCAATGCACTTACCAGCGTCACTGAAATAGGTTCGATTCTCATATCAATCATTTCGTTGAAAAGATTTAGCGCTTCTATTACATCGCTATTATGAGTGTAACACGTAATCATGGAGCTCCAAGAAACCACATCTTTTTCCGGCATCTTCATGAACAACCTAGTGGCAGTTTTGACAGAACCTGTCTTTCCATAGAGATTTAGTAACGCATTACCCAAAGATAAATCAGAGTCGAATCGGTTCCTAATAGAAATACCATGCACACAACTTCCAATTGTAAAATTTGATAACTGAGCACAAGCTGAAACAGCACTAACAAGCGTCACTCGGTTAGGAACTTAGGAGTAATGCGCGCATGCATCACCATTTGGTAGAAAAACTCCAATGCTTCTTCAGGATCACCATTCTGCTCATATCCAGTAACCATAGAAGTCCACAAAAACACATCTGGTTGCGAAAACTCATCAAACACTTTCACAACTTCGCCCATTTCTCTGCATTTGGAATACAATTCAATCAACGCAGAACCCATAAACATATCCAATGCTACCTTCTCATGTTTCTTCACCAACCCGTGTATTATTTTTCCACACGCAAGCGCCCTTAACCTCGCACACGCCTTCAGAGCAATGGGAATGGTGAAATTATCAGGCTTTTCATCATTGTCTCTTGACTCAGACATCATGTTATGGAATAGACACAAGGTCTCCTCCCATCGGTCCTCTCTACAGTAGCTCCTGAGCATGGCGTTCCAGAGATAGACAGTTCTGTGGGGCGTTTCGTCGAACACCTTGCAGGCATGACCGAGGCACTCATATTTTGCGTACAGAGCGTTGAGTTTTGTGGCAAAGAAGCTGTCCTAGGAAAGGCCGGCTTTGAGGGTTTGAGAATGCAATTGCGCCACCGATTTCCCGCTGTTACATGATGCATACAGATTAGCAAGGACTTCCCTCCTTTTCATGCAGAAGAACCACTTGGTCACCCAAAAAAAATCTCACAATCTCATAATCTCATAAAACCAGATCGAGTTTCGTTAGTAGTCACACTAGTGGCTATAAGTTGCCTGTGTCGAATCCAATCAAGTCGGTTTTCTTCGTGGTTTTTCACTTGTGTGGTGTGTTTTTCTCTCTTTGACGAGATGTATAAAATTGGTATTACAATTTTATAAAATGAATAGCATTTGCATGGGAATTTCCATCAAGATTAAGCAAGTGAAACACATGTTACAATCTTCGTTTGTTATGAATGTGTAAAGTATAAATGTTCCGCATTTTATCAAATTATACTAATTTTACGAATTAAGAGTCTATCTTTGTTTTGTTTCACTTGAGGAGATAAAAAGAGTATTGTAACATCCCACGTCGCTCAGAGGAGTGGATCTTATAAGCCTTATATGTATATTCTCATCTCTACCTAGCACGAGGCCTTTTGGGAGCTCACTGGCTTCGGGTTCCGTCGGAACTCCAAAGTTAAGGGAGTAGCGCGCGAGAGCATTCCCAAGATGGGTGACCCACTGGGAAGTTCTCATGTGATTTCCCAAAAATAAAACCGTGAGGGCGTGGTCGTGGCCCGAAGCGGACAATATCGTGCTACGGCGGAGTCGAGCCCAGAAAATGGTCCCGCCCGGGCCGGGATGTGACAAGTACTATGAATTTGGACCATTCAGCAAATACATGAATCAGTTAAATGTTTGTACAAAGTCAACTGGTAATATGTATAATTCACAGCTATGTGAACAGAAAGAACATAGAATCATTCTCCGATAATACCACTCTTTTATCTTTTCATTAATTCTCTCTATGCACTTTTCTACCAATTTTTTTCTTTCAGGAGTGAATAAGGTGAATTATGAGCGTGTATTATATAGAGCATGATGATATCGATGAGAAGGACTATCATACTATACCATATGAGTTTGACGATAACACTAACGATGACGATGTCTAATCTATTAGTGGTAGATACAAAACAACGTACAACTCATAACTAATACATTATTTCTTTGGTTATTAAGAATCTTTTGAATTTCCCACTACAAATTCTTAGGTTCATGTATTAACTTATATCGAACCTAATTGTGCTTCAAGTTGCAGAAAAAAGAGATGTTAATTCTTAGCCACCAATCAAACCAGCGGTCAAAGCTTATTAGGGTCCGTAGGCTCTCATTCTCCATCCACCACCCATTTTGTAAAAAGCAGTAGCACGCGCTAGCCTACTACCTTTACCTATTTTATAGTCTATTTAGTTCCAACAAATCATCTCCAACATTGGTTGGTCATTTTTCCACTCTATGCTAAAGGTTTTGCAAAGCTCTTATACTGAAGGGGCCTTCCTCGCGTGACGTTTCAGAACAAATTATACATACAATATTAAAATATTACGTGACTATAAACTCGTCACATGTGAATCATTATGATTAGATTTTAACGTTAGCATATCGCATAGGTGACATATTACTATTATAATGTTTTGTTAATGTTGGCATTGGTCCTCAGAAGTTGTCCTAATTGGAGTATTGATCGCCAAACGGCTCATCAGTCCGTATTTAGAATACAATTCAATCAATGCATAACCCACAAACATGTGCCATGTCCAATGCAACCTTGTCATTTTGTTCATAAACTCATGACGTCTACCAACATCAATTGAACCAACCTGGGCACCACCTTTAAAATAGAATATGGTCGTGAACTAAGAGTTTAAGGGTGTCTTCAAAAAATTTAAAAAAAAAAAAAAAACTGAACGATACATCGAACCGAAACTTAAAAACAAACCGAAAAAAAAAAAACCAAACCGAAATCATGTGGTTTGATTTCGGTTTCAACGATTCTAAAACCGAACTGAACCAAATATATATATTAATTTTATTTATTTATTTATGGTAAGTATTTATTTTCTTACCCAATTTCAAGCCCAAATTCCAAGCCCATGGTAAGAAAAGCCTTGTTACTAGAAACCCTAGCATATTCTTTTCTCCCTCCCTCCTATCTTTTCTACTCAGCCGCATCTTGCATCTTCTCTTGCATCTTCCAGCGATCCAAAACAATAATCAGGAGTTTCGCTGGGAATCTTGGGAGAGAATTGTTTTCTTTAGACTGAAACGATCAGGAGTTTCACTTCTTTGCTTGAAATCAATGAATACCGGCAGCCTCGCCCTTGCAACCGCCGCCGCCGTCGGTTCGTCATCCTCTCGGCGTTCAAGCTGGAAGAACGTGGTGTTCCTGAGCTTTAGAGGTGAGGACACACGCAATGGGTTCACAAACCTGTAAGAACTTCATCCCAGATCATAGATATGCCAATAAATCACCAATACTACCAACAAACAATGTGAACAACATAACCATAAATCTCAGCATTAAACCAATCAAAACATACCTGCAGAACTTGAACTTGAAGAAGCCATAGCAGCTTCACCACCAGACAATCTTCTCCTCTTTAGCAAAACTAGAGAGCTCTTTGAACAATAGGTATTCAACACAATATGAGCCGTATCTTTGCAAGAGCAGTGATTGTGGTTATATACAGCATTAATCCAACACATTCTCCTATTAGAATTAGTGTTGGACTCTAAAACAGAAACCCTTTTACACAATGAGTGCACAAGATCAATCCGAGAAGGATCCAAAACCTTTTCCCAAAGGAACACTAAAAACACTCATAATCCTACAAGAAATAGGATTTACACAAACACTTTATCAAGACTTTTCCATTCAAAATTCATTCAATATAATAGCTAATCCACAATCATGTTTTTATACTCATATTCCAACATTCTCCCACTTGAGTATAAAGACACAATGATTAACTAAATGAATCATGGAAGTGATCACTAAGTCCAGAATAAAGCTTCTAACTTCGTATACAACATTACCTATGCATATCAAAATATGGAACTCCAGGACTCTATCTGTACAATCTCAGACTTTATCCAAGAATTACAACATATCCAATTTTGCATTTTGTAGTTATACGCAAACAATCTCAGTAATGCCAAAATTCATTACTCACACTCATTTAAACCAATTTCAACTCAATCACAGTTAAAATTTCAGCTTAAATGACAAACATCCATAACAGAACAATATACTAAACAGTTCCAAAGTATACTTCAGTAAAATCACAAACTGATTTACTAGCAAACTCAAACTATTTTATTGCAATGCTAACTATCTGAATCAATTAATCACAATACGGAAAAATTGAATTCATATAAATAAAAAACAAAGCGAAATACTAACTAAGACAAGATATTAGTATGCCATCTAACTTAACTCAGGAAATCTCCTACCGCAGTAACATAAGCAACACTGCAGTTCCAAAACCATCTCAAATCTGGTCACAATCACTCCCACTTGTCAAAAGCTTCTAAAATTCCCATTCTAGTAACATGTGCTTTAAACACACTGTTTGGCAAAGCTTTAGTAAGAGGATCTGCAATCATCTTCTCTGTAGATAAATGTAGAATTTCTATCTCTCCTTTCTTCACCATTTCTCTAACTTTAAGAAACTTCACATCCATTAGTCTTGAAGCCGAAGTTCTCTTATTGTTCTTGGAGAAAAACACAGCAGCATTGTTGTCACAGAACATCTTCAAAGGCCTTTTAACCGAGTTAACAATTTTCATCTCAGCAACAAAATTTCTTAACCATACTGCCTGTTTCATCCCTTCAAAACATGCAACAAATTCAGCCTCCATTGTTGAAGTAGACACAATTGTTTGCTTAGCACTCTTCCAGGAGCACCCTCATTTAACATAAAGATATAACCTCCAGTCGATTTTCTCTCATCTATATCCCCAGCAAGATCTGAATCTGTAAATCCAATCAACTCCAAATCATCATCTCTGCCATAAACTAACTGATAAGCTTTTGTTTTCTGCATATATCTCAATACTTTCTTCGCAGCCACCCAATGAGATTCTCCTGGATTTGATTGAAACCTGCCTAATACTCCAACAATGAATGCTAAGTCAGGCCTTGTACAAATGTTAGCATACATGATGCTTCCAACTAATGATGCATAAGGCTTCATCTTCATCAACTCGATCTCATTCTCATTCTTAGGACATTGATCTTTAGAAAACTTGTCACCTTTGTTAACTGGAACATCTGCCTTATTGCATTTCTCCATATTGAATCGGTTCAGCACCCTTTCAATGTATCCCTTTTGAGATAATCCCAGAAGCTTTCTCTTTCTGTCTCTTGTTATTTCAATCCCCAGAACATAATGTGCTTCCCCTAAATCTTTCATTTCAAAATTTGTGCTTAAAATAGCCTTGGTTTCTTTAAGCAGTTGTATGTTAGAACTTGCAAGCAGAATGTCATCAACATACAAAACCAGAAAAATGAACTTTGATCCTTTGTGTTTTAAATAGATGCAATCATCCATCTTGTTGTCAACAAAACCATGAGCGGTCACTACCTGATCAAACTTGAGAAACCACTGCCTAGATGCCTGTTTAAGCCCATAAATCGACTTATTCAGTTTGCAGACCATATGCTCTTTCCCCCTTTCAACAAATCCGGAAGGTTGCACCATATATATGTCTTCCTGCAGATCGCCATTCAAAAAGGCGGTTTTAACATCCATCTGGTGTAATTCCAGATCAAAATGAGATGTTAAAGCCATGATGATCCTCATAGAGTCTTTGGAAGAAACTGGTGAGAACGTGTCATTGTAATCAATCCCCTCTCTCTGAGTGAAGCCCTTGGCTACTAATCGAGCCTTATATCTCTCTATTCTCCCGACATCATCCCTTTTAGTTTTGTAAACCCACTTGCAACCTATTGGTTTGACATTTGAAATAGAGTTCACAAGGGTCCAGACTTTATTCTTGGACATGGAATCCAACTCTTCCTCCATTGCTTTCTTCCATAATGCAACATGAGGACATTGAATTGCTTGTTGATAGGTAACTGGATCATCTATGTCACCTATATCAAATTCTGCTTCTTGGAGATAGACATAGTCAGCCAAAATAGCTGATTTCTTGACTCTGCTGGACTTCCTCAGATTCAATTGTTCATTCTCATGACAGGTATTTCCCTCAACTTGAGAATTTTGAGCATTTGAGGACAGATCTCGTGTACAAGGAGCATTCTCATGTTCATTTTGTATTTCAGCATCCATTTCTTGTGCCATTTCCTCATCAAGATCATCTTTCTCTATGTGAGTTCTAGGCAACACCGAGATATGATTGTAGTCCATTGGAATTGAACCATCGAGATGTTCTGACTCTTCAAACTCAAAGGTATCATGAACCAAGTCTGATATATCTTGATCTTCTAAGAAAATTGCATTATGAGTCTCTTGGATTCTTGTATGTGATTGAGAACAATAAAATTTAAAGCCCTTAGATTTCTCTAAATATCCCACAAAATAGCATGAACTGGTTCTAGAGTCGAGCTTCCTCTCATTTGGATTGTAAAACCTTGCTTCTGCTTTGCAACCCCACACATGGAAATGATTAAAACTCGGTATTCTGCCAGTCCATAACTCAAAGGGTGTTTTAGGCACTGATTTTGTAGGCACTCGATTCAACACATAGTTAGATGTCCTCAATGCTTCTCCCCACAGAAAACCAGGCAACTTTGATCTTGAAATTAGACTTCTAACCATTCCTATCAGGGTTCGATTTCTTCTCTCAGCCACTCCATTCTGTTGGGGTGTGCCTGGAGTAGTATACTGGGCCACAATACCTTGCTGCTCAAGACCGTGCAAAATGACCCTTTTGTTGTCCTGCTTCTGTGTGCCTGCCAAAGTATTCCCCTCCTCTATCTGATCTAACAATCTTAATCACTAGGTTTAGTTGTTTTTCTACCTCACATTTAAAAATTTTGAAACACTCAAGGACTGCTGACTTTTCTTTTATTAGAAATATGTAACCATGTCTGGAAAAATCATTTATAAAACTCACAAAGTATGAATTTCCACAAATAGTTTTGATAGGAAAAGGTCCACAAACATCGGTGTGTATAATCTCAAGCAAATTTTTACTTCTATTGGCATCCATTTTCCTAAAGTTGGTGGTTTTACCCTTCATACAGTCAATGCATTCAGATGCATTATGAAAATCTAAAGCAGGTATGAAATTTAATTTTGATAATTGCATGATCCTTTCCTTCGAAATATGTCCTAGTCTTTTATGCCACAACATATAAGAGTTGTCAAAATTTTGCATTCTTTTGGCAGTCGTATTTAAAACACTTAACTCATTGTCCAACAATGTGCACTGCATTTTCCATAACTGATCATGCAAAACTGCTTTTCCTATCAAGGCTCCCCTATGAAAAAATTTTATGCATTCTTTATCACCTATGAAAATAACACCTTCAGCTACTAACTTAGATGCAGAGATTAAACTTCTTCTCATTGCAGGCACATATAAAACATTGGACAGTTCCAACACAAATTCAGAAGCCAATTTTAGTTTCACTTTCCCTATCGATTCAACTACAACTCTGGTTCCTTCACCAACAAAAACGTTATAATCATTTGTTTGTTTTTGTTTTTCAAAACCATGCAGTGAATTGGTTATATGCACAGATGCACCAGTATCAAACCACCAGGAATTTGCCGGAATTTCAATGAGATTTGATTCCTCACAGACATATACATTAGTTCTACCTTTAGCCCTAAGCCATTCTTTGAATATTTCACAATCTTTTCTATAATGACCTTTAGTTTTGCAATGATGACACCTAACCTTTTCAATGTTTTTAGCTTTAACTTTAAGATTGTTAGATTTAGAGGAATGGGAATTCTTAGCAGACACAAAAGATTTATCAGGATGTTTGAATTGAGGAGATTTACCAGAATATGCATTGAGATCCTTCCTTTTAGAAGTCTGCACAAAATTGATGGTCTCAGCTTCCTTTCCTTTGTCTTGCTTCTGTCGATTTTCCTCTTGAACACATTGAGATATCAGTTCATCCACTGTCCATGACTTATCTTGAGTGTTGTAAGAGACTTTTAATTGACTGAACTTCAAAGGAAGTGCTTGCAGAATCATGAACACTAGCTGCTTTTCACAAATATTCATGTCTAATGAATTAAGCTTCTCAGCCGCATCGGTCATCCTCATAATGTGATCTCTGACTGAACCACCACCTTCAAATTTGTAAGTTGTGAGAAGGGTCATATACTGAGCAATCTCAGCCTTTTGTGATTCCTTGAATTTGCTCTCAATAGCTTTGAAATAGTCCTTTGCTAGATCCCACCTTTTGATACCTCCACGAACAGTGTCAGTCATCCCGCTCTCCAAAATGGATAATGCCACTTTATTAGCTCTTGTCCATCTTTCGAACTCAACCTTCTCAGCCTTTGAACTCTTATCAGTAAGAGGCGCAGGTTGTGGTGTATCAAGTGCTATATCATACTCATTTAATGTCAAGAGCAATTCCATTTCCCTTCTCCATTTTTTGTAATTGCTCCCACCAGTGAGTATAGGTACAGCAGCCAAATTCATTGTTTTTAGTGAAACTGCAGAAGATAACAATGAAATCATCACATTGAATCTTTTCGGGATTCATGATTTCCATCTATTTCACTATGTAATCCTCATAATGAGTCAATTTTGTCATACACATGGTCTCAAACTTTGATAAAGACAACCATATATAGAGTAAACAACTCACAGAAGATTGCATTCAAGAATCATGCTCGAAAGGGATGATATTCAAATATCACACCACATGCATTGAAAATTAAAAAAAAATCAATAAACCCAAACAAATTAGCAGCGGAAACATTAAAATAATTCTTCAGTTTATCCATTTAGATAATTTTGATTCAAATTGGCGAGATGCTAACAAATTTGCATATATACGGTGTTCAAATAAGTTTTTTAACCTAAATTAAAGTTTCAAAATTGCAGACATACCTGTTTAGAGAAATCAATGAATGAAATTGACTCGAGAAGAATCAGAGAGAATCAGCAGAATCATTCATTGAATCGCCATGTACCCAGAGACCATGAAAAAGAAAAGATGCAAGGCAAAGCAAAAGACGCAAACCCGGTGAACATAACGGTATAAATTTTTTTTTTTTTTTTAAACGGTGTCGTTTTTTACTGTTATGCTCAAAAACAAGTTATGCGTTTCTAGGTTTTAAGATTATGGTTTCTTGTCCAAATTGTTGTACAAAATTTCGAACTTAATGACAATAATCTTTCCAGGCTCTGATACCACATGTAAGAACTTCATCCCAGATCATAGATATGCCAATAAATCACCAATACTACCAACAAACAATGTGAACAACATAACCATAAATCTCAGCATTAAACCAATCAAAACATACCTGCAGAACTTGAACTTGAAGAAGCCATAGCAGCTTCACCACCAGACAATCTTCTCCTCTTTAGCAAAACTAAAGAGCTCTTTGAACAATAGGTATTCAACACAATATGAGCCGTATCTTTGCAAGAGCAGTGATTGTGGTTATATACAGCATTAATCCAACACATTCTCCTATTAGAATTAGTGTTGGACTCTAAACAGAAACCCTTTTACACAATGAGTGCACAAGATCAATCCGAGAAGGATCCAAAACCTTTTCCCAAAGGAACACTAAAAACACTCATAATCCTACAAGAAATAGGATTTACACAAACACTTTATCAAGACTTTTCCATTCAAAATTCATTCAATATAATAGCTAATCCACAATCATGTTTTTATACTCATATTCCAACAAAACCACCTCTCCTATGCGTTACGCGAGGCCGGAATCAACACATTTACAGACGACAAGCTCAGAAGGGGGGAAAATATACAGAGCGAACTTGACCGAGAAATCGAAGGGTCGAGGATCGCGGTCGTCGTCTTCTCAAAGAGTTACGCGGAGTCCCGATGGTGCTTGAGGGAGCTGTCGAAGATCAGGAGGGAGGGGAAAGTAGTCTATCCTATATTCTACGACGTTAACCCTTCTCAATTGAGGGAACAGAGTGGTAGTTTGGGGGAAGCATTTCGGAAGGAAGATCCAAATGAGGTGGAGCAGTGGAGAAGGGATCTTAAGGCTTGTGCGGATTTAAGTGGCCGGACTTTTAAGACCACGGCGGGCGGGTATAAATTCAAACTTCCTCTTTTACAAAGTTTAATTGCGTGCAACATCATCAGCCAAAGTCATGATGAATAAGTTATTTAGTTCATATGAATCTTGGTGTTGCATAGTGAATCATCTGTTTGCATAATTTGGATTTTCAATTGGCAGGCGTGAAGGACTGTTTATCCAGAAAGTTGTTTGAACAATTCGTTATGTCTTTTTTGAACAAAATTTCCTAATAATTCCTACTTTGGTGAAAAATTATATGAACATTTGTTTAAGAATAATCTATCATGATTGTTGCTCCTGCAAAAATTGTTAGTTTCAATAACCTTTGCTATGAGCTATCTCTATATATCATCATGCCCTTCAACAAAAGAAGTAGTGGAAGAACTAGCTGAGGAAGCCATGGATGATTGATCAGAGAAGAGCTTCTACTCACTGAGAAGCTTGTGTTGTTTGTTACTAGTAACAGGGCTAGTTTTCTGTACAGAACGTGTGTTTTTCTCATGAGCACGGACCTCGGTGTATCGATCGACATAAAACTCCCACCCATTAAGGGCATCAGCTAGTAACCGTAATATCTCATTGAAATTCCCAGAGGGTTATCCACCAGTCGTTCATGTCAGCTTAAAGGTCCTTCTTTTAAGGGTTTAGGGGTAGTGTTTGATTCAAATATCAAGTCTAATTAATTCTTAATTTAACATATATATTTAACCTTATGATAATTGGTTAAGTCCAACAAGATCCAACATTTGGGAGTCTGGCTAATCAGCCGAAGTCATGATGAATTAGTTTAGTACATATTAATCTTGGTGTTGCATGATGAATCATCTCTTTTCATAATTTGGACTTTCAATTTGCAGGCGTGAAGCATTGTTTATCCGGAATGTTGTTAGGGAGATCATCGGACTGACAAAACCCAGAGACTTACAACCAAGTCAAGCACTCGGTTGGAATACCTTGTCGCGTGTGCAAGTGTTCGCTAGTAGTCTTTTCCTTTTTTTTTTTTTTTTTTTTGTGTGTTTCAGGTCACTTTTTCTTTGCTGTCGTCAAGGAGGTCACTTTTTCTTTAGCAGTACCACCGCACTATACTTTCTGACGTTCCCAGCCTAGTCAACACTCTTTCTTTTTCTTTTTTTTTCTTTGTTTTCTTTTTGGTTAAAAATATTACTTTTTTTTTTCACCCACTCTCTCTCTCCGCTCCTCTCTCTCCTAGTCAACACTTTTTCTTTTTTTATTTATTCTTTGTTTTCTTTTTGGTTAATAAGATTACTTTTTTCTCTCTCCGCTCCACTCTCTCTCACCTATTCATTCACCCACGTTCTTCTCTCTTTCCTTTCTCTGCTTCTCTCGAACCAGAAAGAGTTACAAGCATTTGAGGACCCAGATGATCCAATTATCGTATTCTTCAAGTCTCGCACTTCAACCCAAGACCCTGAGCGCAAAGGCAATCTCTCTCTCCAGACGATGCCCGCGATTTTGAAGTTTATTTATGTGGTGATTGTCTTCGAGAATGCTCGGGCAAGAGTCGCACCATGCACGGGAAAATCTGAGCAACCAACTTCCAAGCGGTAACACAGCAGCATGCATCCCGCAACAAATTTACTTATTTGTAATGATAACTGTGGATTTTATTCCAATGTTTGTAGACTTGTGTGATGTGGAATGTGTTAGCTGTCATAGCAGTGATGAATTGTGTGCTACAGTTTGGTTTTGTAGTGATTTATGTCATTGATACATGTTTGAAAAGTTTATATTTTCATTGATACAAGTAACTACTTTATGTTTTCATGAAATTGATGTAAGATGAAAGAAAAAATATAACCAAGTTATATTATTCTCCGTGACTGTCAAGATCATTACACCTTTCATGTAGGTTGAAACTTTCCCGACAAGAAATTTCTTAACACTTCCAATCTACACTGCATCCGCCATGTCATGTTAGGTGCATTCACTTCTAATTTTCCTAGCACTCCAGAAATCTGATCAGAATCAAGGTGCAATCTATATCCCGCAACAAAACTATGGATGTCACTCCCCACCTCTACGACGCTGTGCCCGGACGTCTTCTTTAACCCCTTCTCCTTTATCGAAGTTCTAAGATTAGTCACATTTTCCCATTTGTTATCTATGGCATGAAGATTATATCTTGTGCGTCCCATTTATGCACCACATTAGAACATAATAAAAAATTTTACAAAATTATGACGAGAGGACTATATTGATTTGTGACACTTATTTTTATGAACTACATTGATCGATTTTCAATTTCATAGATCATCTTAATGGTGTGAGTCAATTTTAGGGACCATTTGTAATATAAACCCTATATATTATACGTTAGGTTTAAGAATTAGATGGACTATCATATTGGTTGAGATTTAATCTCAACCGTCCAACTTAGGGTTTTCAATACTCTCTCAATCATCACTCAACATTCAAGTACCCCCCCCCCCCTAGCCCCTCTAGTTCTTTAACCCCTTGATTTGCCACTCTACGGAGCAACAACTCATAAATTAATTGCCCACTGATGGCCAATTCATCCACACCCTGAAGGTGGCCAAAGCAGGATGCCCTAAAGGCACTAAGTTGTGCCTCATTAAACTTCTCCCTAATCAATCCTAACACATGGTGGGCTTGGGATAGGTTGTTAACCCTTCCCCTATACGCCTCTTCTTCTCTGGTTGCTAGTTCAACACACTGGGTAGCCATATCTTGTACACATAACAATACACACACATCAGCAATAAACAACACATAACCCATCAACAACCAGCCACCAAAGCTTCATAGCTATAACATCTACTTTGAACAGAGCATCATTACTTAAGCAATTTCAAGTCCCACCATAAAATTAACAATGATTCAAATACAAAAACAATCCTTACCACCATAAAATTAACAATAATTCAGATACAAAAATCAATCCCTACTCAAAACTACAAGTTTACACACTGCTGTGTTAGCTGTCATAGCAGTGATGAATTAAATGCTACAGTTAGGTTTTGTAGTGATTTATGTCATTGATACATTCTTAAAAAGTTTATATTTTCATTGATACAAGTAGCTACTACATATTTTCATGAAATTGACGTATGTAATTGAAAGAAAAATATAACCAACGCTTCTAATCTGGACAGCAGCCGCCATGTCATGACTCATGAAGCAGGAAATCAACGTTGGGGACATAACCTTCCTCTCTCACCTCTAGTTATCCAGTTCTCCTGTCCGGCCAAAAAGATCAACAATTATCCCGTAGTGCTCAGGTCCAGGCTTAAGTTGGTATTCATGCAACACCGTCAAAAACACATCCGGTTGCGAAAACCCGTCAAACACTTTCACAGCCTCGCCCATTTCTCCGCATTTGGAATATGATTCAATCAACGCAGAACCCGCAAACATATCCAATGCTACCTTCTCATGTTTCTTCACAAACCCATGTATTAATTTTCCACACACCAGCGCCCTTAACCTCGCACACGCCTTCAAAGCAATGGGAATGGTGAATATCGGGTTTTCCATCATTGCCTCTTGCCTCAGACATCATGTTACGGAATAACCACAAGGTCTCTTCCCATCGATCCTCTCTAAGTAGCTCCTCAGCGTGGGCGTTCAAGAGATAGAAAGTTCTGTGGGGAGTTTCGTCGAACACCTTACCGGCATGACCGAGGGAGTCATATTTTGCGTAGAGAGCGTTGAGTTTTGTGGCAAATAAGCTGTCTTGGGAAAGGCCGGCTTTGAGGGTTTGAGAGTGCAATTGCGCCACTGATTTGCCGCTGTTACATGACGCAAACAGATTAGCAAGGACTTCCCTCCTTGTCATGCTGAAGAACCTCACAATTTCCATGTAACAATACACTTCATAAAACCAGATGAAATCTCGTTAGTAGCCACACTTGTTGCGACTATAAGTTGCCTGTGTCGAATCCAATCAAGTCAGTTTTCTTCGTTTTTTCACCTGTGGGGCGTGTCTTTCTCTCGTTATGTGGCGAGGGATTTTGTGGGTATTTTCAAAGGTGTGGGCGGTGTGGGGAAGGTACCATGTGGTTCGAGCATCATGGCGAAAGCGGAGGCACTTCGGATTGGCTGTGCATATGGCATCTTATGTCACGCGTTTAGGTTTAGGGTGCATATTTTTGGGATGATTTTAAGCTCTAAAGGTTGTTTAACACTCTCCTGATGTAAACATTTCAATTCGTATTTAATAATATCTATCATTTGACAAAAAAGAAGTTATTGGCACCATAATTTTTTTTTAAAGTAAAATTAAGTTGAAGGGGTAAAGTCAAACATGATTTAAAGTTTGGGCAAGTACGGTTAAAGTTCGGCTAAAGTTTTAGATGGTCCCTGTGATGATAAGGTAATCGAAAGATAATCCTCGTGGTAAAAAAATTAGGATTTAAATCATCGTGGTATAATTTGTTAGTAAATTTAATTCAAAAGTGAATTTTCCGTTAAATGTTAGTTAAATGCAGGGATAAAAATGTACTTTGTCGTGTGCCTTATTCTTTCTCATATCCCTGCTCTCCCTGTAATTTGCGTTTGAGCAGCCGTGATGAGAATGAGAATGAGAATGGTGGGAGTGGACATTACTCGATGGGAAGCCAAAATCTTGAATCAGCTCAAGGAAAAGCCGGCAAGGATTGAGTTCATGTGGTTGTTTCGGAGCAACATGACTGGGTTTTCGTAGGGATTTATGATGGATTTAATGGCCCTGATGCTTCTGATTACTTGCTTTCCAATTACTTTGTTGTGCACAAAGAACTCAAAGGTTGCTCTGGATGACAAGGTTCGAAATTGAAATCGAACTCGCTGAAACAAATTCTTTTTCTTTTTGTCATTAATATTAATGTGTATGAATCAAAATCCAACCACTAACCACAGATCCACATTTTCTGCCAGAATAACACTAAATCCTCACTTAAAAACTTTAACAAAAAAAAGAAAGAAAAATTACTATACCAAAATGAATCATTTAATTCATGATTTCCGCAGATTGAAATCAAGAGGGATGACCATAAAACCGACAACTACGACTACTCGAAACAAGTTTTTGATTCATAGAAACCAAGACTTAATTAAGCAAAAACCAAACAAACCAGCAGCATATGCAGAGAGACGGTGAAGTGGAAATGACTGGTTCAACCCTTGTTAGGGCACTCCCTCGCGAAATGACCGGACTCAGCGCACTGGTAGAAGCCTTCAGAAGCACCTCCGCCTCCCATCGAGTAATGTCCACTCCCACCATCCTCATTCTCATTCTCATCACTCAAACTCACATGGCTCCTCAAACACAAATTTCAGAGAGAGCAGAGAGATGAGAAAGAAGAACGCACACATCAAAGTACATTTTTATCCCTGCATTTAACTGACATTTAATGAAAATTCACTTTGGATTAAATTTGCTAACAGATTATACCACGAGGGTTTAAATCCGAATTTTTTTACCACAAGGTTATCTTTCGATTACCTTATCACCACATGAACCATTTATCCGATTAGGCCAAAGTTTTACCAAAGCTCTTCTTGGAGCTGGAATAAAAGCCCGAAATTTCCGAACCAAACTAAGAAGTCCTGAAACCAAACCGAAAGCATCTCGAACTGAAAAGTGTTAGACAAATAGAAGTATTAGTTGATTGTAATCCTAATTATATTTGTATTCCTAATTTGTATCCCTAACTTGTAGGGTTAATACCTTGGTGTGCAAGGAATGTGATTGTATATATTGGTATTCACGTATTAATGAAATATACTTTTTCATCCACATATTTTTTTTCTACATGGTATACAGAGCAGGTTTTAAACCCTAGCTTTTTCAAATTTTTTTTTTGGCAGCCATCTCTGCCGTTTCTTTCTT